CAAGTACTATCTCCTCCATTCCCTTTAAAATAAAGGCCAACATTCAATTTGTCTTTGTTCTTACCCAAGAACTTGAACGCTGACGATGGCCTCGTGTTATTATCGCTGGATTGTTAATCCAGAGACCCAGATAATGTTCTGGGGACCTGGGTTCGAATCCCGCAATGGCAGATGGTAGAATTTGAATTGAATAAATATCTGGAATTAACAATCTAATGATGACCATGCACCCATTGTCGATTGTCAGAAAAACCCATCTGGTTCACGAATGTCCTTTAGGGAAGGAAACTGCCATCCTTACCTGGTCTGGCCTACATGTGACTCCAGACCCACAGCAATGTGGTTGACTCTGAACTGGCCCCTGCGCAATTAGGGATAGACAATAAATGCTGCCTGGTCAGCAACACCCTCATCCCGTGAATGAATAAAGAAAATGTTCTTACTGTGGGGAACCTGGTTCTGCTGGACCAGGTCTCAAGGTGGACACTATCCTTTCCATCGATGTCAACTTCCTGAGGGTTACCATTGACCCGACTCTGAACTGATCATATAAATGGAGTGGCTACAAGAGCAAGACAGAGGCTAAAAATCCCGTAGCGAGTAACTCACTTACTGACTTCCCAAAGCCTATCTACCATCTAAAGAGCACATGTCAGGAGTGTGACGGAATACTCCTCACTTGCCTGTATCACACATTAAGGGGAAGTTTTGGCCTATTGGTGTTAGCACCGAACTGTTAATCCAGAGAGCCAGCTAATGTTCTGGAGACCAGGATTTGAATCTTGCTATGGAAGATGGTGGAATTTGAATTCAATAATAAAAAAAGAAATCTGGAATTAAGAGTTGAATGATGACCATGACTTGATTGTCAGAAAAACCCATCTGGTTCACAAATGTCCTTTAGTGAAGTAATCTGCCATCCTGACCTGGTCTGGCCTACATGTGACTTCAGACCCACAGCAATGTGGTTGACTCTTAACCACCCTCTGGGTAATTAGGGATGGGCAATAAATGCTAGCCTAGCTAGTGTTGCCCTCATCCCATGAAGGAATATAATTTTTATTTTAAAAGTCACTTGAATGGGAGTCAGCAGGTGTCTGGTCTCAGGCAGCCCTCTGAGTGTCAGAGACTTTGGATGTTGCTTTGTACATTGTCTGTAGACCTGTGTCTAGCAATGTGCTCATCAAATTGGAACTTTGAGCTGAATGTAGGTAGTGAATCACTGAGCTGTCAGTGTCTATGTTGGTGGAGACCTACAGGTAAATGCCATGTCAGCGCATGCTCTGAGGTTTCAAAGACATCATATTCAGAGGCAGTGTTGCTCACGGTGAGGGGAAGAATGTGGTTTTTTTATGCTTCATCCTCTCCTAGTGACCACTAGCATCTTGAGTGAAGAAAAGAACATGCAAAGTCCTTTATACAGATAAATACCTGACGTATCTACACAGTCAGAACAAAAAGCCAGCATCCAAGTTCAGTGGGTAAGAACAAAGGCAAATCGAATGTTGGCCTTTATTTTAAAGGGAATGGAGGAGATAGTACTTGTTTGAGCTCAGTACTGGAGAGTATATGTCGCTGTAACTGCATGGACATCATTGCCTTTATACATTGGAACTCAAATCTATTAATTAGTACTTTTCAAATTAGTTCTTGTGGCCAGTTAAGCATACTTCATAAGGAAAATTGCATTCAGATCGTCCTTTTTGCTTTACAAATACTTTGACAGTATTGCTCCATATAACTTATGTCGCAAATTTTTCTGTGTATAATGGTATCTATGTCAGGAATTCAAGGGCTTACTTGACAAAATATGACATTTTGTCATATGCCAGTAAGTGAAGCTCCACTATCGGTATCAAATTTGTAAAATTACCTGTTGCAGGAACAATTTGGATAAAAGTTAACCTAAACCAATGTTGCATCAGACCCAGCAGTGTGTAGGTATGTGTGTTGTCACAAGCATGAGTACTTATGTGTGGGAGAAGGAATATGTTGTAATCTCTTTGGGAAATTGAATGCGGATTAATCCGGTTAGAAAGCTGCTGACTGCTTACTCAGTGTGGTCAGACTGGACCATGTCCAGAATTTTATTCAAACTTCAATTCAACCTCCTAAGATAACATTCATTGAGTTAAAAGTGGCAACAGAGTTACAGCAAGCTAAATCTGTTGTAGTGTATTAGGATTGTCAGAATATTGTTATTATTTATCAATAAAAAAATAAATAGACACCTAGAAGTTATATTTAAAATTGTGGTAAGACAATAACTCTGCTGGTATTGTTTAAGCCACTTCCTTCTTGATACTTTAATAAAACTGTGACCTTGATACAGAAACAAAATAGGCTTTCATATAATATTAAATATATCCAATGTTACTGTCTCCCAGGGCACAATTACAAAATATATTTTAGTCTCAGAATAGTACTAGTTGTTAAAGTTTCCCAGCTTTGGAATTCCGATGGAATTTTGTATCTTCAAGTGAGTGTGTCGACACATCATCCCTTCGGGTTATGAGTCACCAGAGATGCAATTAATCACATGGCAGATGGTAATACTTGGATTAAATAAAATTTGGAATTAAAAGCTAATTTAATGGCAACCTGGTTTACTAATGCCCAATAGCAACGGAAATTTGCCACCACTATCTGGTTATATTTATGTGACTCCAGGCCCACAGCAATGTGGTTGACTTTTAACTGCTGTTTGAAATGGCCAAGCAAGCCATACGGATAGTACAAACTCTAAAGAAAGGAAAGAGACGAGACCATCCAACATCAACCCAGGCACTAGAATTGGCAATGACAATCTCAGCAAAGTCCTCCTGATTAACATCAGGGGGTTTGCAACAATATCAGGAGAGCCGTCTCACAGAATAATCAAGCAACAGACTAACATAGTCAAATTCAAAAAATCATACATTATAGACATTACCATTGTCACCTCTGAGAATGTTCTGTCTCACTGGCAGGACAGACCCACTGGAGGTGACAGTACAATGGCACACATTCAGGAAGGAATTTCCCTCAGAGTCTTCAGCATTGACTCCAGTCTCTATGAAATTTTATGGCGTCAGGCCAAACATGAGGAAGAAGAGTTTGGAGGGATATGGGTCAAATGCTGGCAAATGGGATTAGGTCAGATTGGGATGTTTGGTCAGCGTGGACAAGTTGTACCGAAGGGTCTGTTTCTGTGCTGTATAATTCTACGAGCAGGGAAACCTCCAACCATCTACTGCCTCCCACCAACCCCTATGCCCCTTTAGCTGATGAATCAATGTTCCTTCATGTTGAACACCACTTGGAGGAAGCACAAAGGGTGGAAAGGGCGCAGAAGGCACACTGGGTGGGGGAGTTCAATGTCCATCACCAAGAGTGCCTCAGCATCACCACTTATAGTCTGAACTAGTCAACTCCTAAAGGACACAACTGCTAGATTGGGTCTGCAGCAGGTTGTAAGGGAAACAATAGGAGGGGAAACTTACTTGACTTCATTTGCAATAGTCTGACAAAGATGTGTGTATCTAGAGTCGTTAATAGAGACCAGCACACAATCCTTGAGGATCCTGTGTTCATAATGAGGACTCACTCCATGCTATTGTGTAGCACTACCAACATGCTCAATGGGACAGATTTGGAATAGGCCAAAGAAATCAAACTTGGACACGGTGGGCCATCAGCAGCAACACAATGTATTTTCAGCACTACGATGGAAGACCTGTGCTCCAGAACTTGCCCTGATTGGCAGTTCCAGTAGGGCGACAACACTGGTATCTGCCTGACAAGGAGGAAAATTGCCCAGGTTTGTTCTGTCCACAGGAAGCAGTACAAATTTGGAGTCATTCCTGGAACATAGGAAGATGCTGGTATTGTTGAACGTCAGTCTTCTCAGCTCCAGGACGTCACTGCAGGAGTTCCTCAGGATAGTGTCCTAAGCCAAATATTCTTCAGCTGCTTCATCAGTCATCTTCTCTCTATCTTAAAGTCAGAAGTGGAGGCATTTGCTCATGAGCACATAATGTTTAACATCTTTCGTGACTCCTCAAATACTGACACAGTCCATTTCCAAATGCACCAAGACATGGACAATTGTGAAACAATGACAATTTCCAACACAAAAGAATCTAACCATCACCCTTTGACATTCAATGACATTACCATCACTGAATCCCCCACTATCAATATCCTGAGAGGTTATCATTGACCGGAAATTGAACTGGACTAGCTATATAAGTATTATGGCTACGAGAGCTGGTCACAGCTAGGAATCCTGCAGTGAGTAATTCATATCCTGACTCACCAAACCCTGTCCATCCTCTCTAAGGCACAAGTCAAGAGTTTGATGGAATACTCCCCATTTGCCTGGATGAGCACACCTGCAACAACACTCAAGAGCTTGACACCATCCAGGAAAAATAGCCCACTTCATTGGAACCATGTCTAGAAACATTCATTTCTTTCCCTACCAATGCTCAGTGTGTACCAACAAGAAGATGCACTGCAGAAATTTACCAAGGCTCATTAAGCAGCACCTTCCAAATCCATGAGCATCTAGAAGGACAAAGGCAGCAGCTTTAAGGGATCACCACCATCTGCAAGTTCCTCCCATAAGTTACTTGGAAATTTATCACCATTCATTCAGTGACACTGTGTCAATAGCCCTCTCTAATGTATTGTAGGTATATCTTCAGCCTATAGTTTGCTGAATTTCATGAAGGCAGTTCATTTTCTCAAGGGAAATTATGGATGCATAACAATTACTGGCTCAGCCAATGACACCCACATTCCATGAATGAAAAACATATCTAACGTGGCCAATTACTGCCTTATTGGTCAACTCTCATTCTTGAGCAAAGTGAAGGTAGGAGTCAGCAACTGTGCTTTCCAGTGGTATGCGCTCAACAATAACCTGCTCACTGATGCTCAATTTGCCAGTACCACTCCGCTCCTGAACTCATTAAAGCCTTGGACCAAACATACACAAAAGATCTGAACACCAGAGATGAAGTGAAAGTGACTACTTTTAATATCAAGGTAGCATTTAACAAGTTGGGCATCGAGAATCCTTAGCAAAACTGGTAGCAATCGGAATCAGAGACAAACATGTTGATTTGTTTGGTGTCATACCTAGCACAAAGGAAGATAGTTTTCTTGTTGGAGGCCATTCAATTTGGCTTCAGGAAATCACTGCAGAGGTTCTTCAAGATTATGTCGTAGAGCTAAACATCTTCAGTTACTTCATGAATGACCTTCCTTTCGTCTTCAGGTCAGAAATGGGGATGTCTGCTGTTGATTGCACAATACTCTGCACCATTTATAGTACCTTGTGGCTGAATGCTCTAACAATGCTCAAGAAGCATAACATCATCCAGGACAAAGCAGCTTGTTTAGTTGGTACCCCACCCATTGCCTTTCACAGAGTCTATTGTCACCCAAGCACACGGCAGCAATGTGTACCATTTACACAACACATTGCATTAACTCATATAGCCTCTTCTGACTGCACTTGTCAAACCTCCAACTTCTGTCATCTTGAAGGGCAAAGGTAGCATTCGCATGGGAACACCATCTCCTGTAAGTTCTCTTCCAAGCCACACAAACATCCAGACGTGTAAAAATATCTCCATTTTTTCATTGTTCAAAATCTTCAAATTTCCTTCCTAAGAGCACTAAGGGTGTCCCTATGTCCCAAGGACTACAGTGGTTCAAGGCAGCAACTCAGTAGCACTATCTCCAGAGCAATTAGGGACATCCACATTCCATAAATGTATAAATAATGTTCGACTGGGGTGGACAAGGTTAGAAGTCACACGAACAAAAACAGACATTGCTGGGAAAGCTCAGCAGGTCTGGCAGCATCTGTGAAGAGAAATCAGAGTTAATGTTTTGGGTCCAGTGACCTTTCCTCAGAACAGGAGGTAGGCAACATCTGGGGTCCTGCATTCATGGTTCATCCACACAATCCACTTTTCTTTTTTTTTCTCACATTTCCAAAGGGCTCGGTCATGTCAGTGGTGATGACATCGACAAGAAAGGCAGTCGGGGCCCAGAGTGTGGTGGCAGCTGGTGACCCTGAAGCAGACATTCTGGTGGACAGTGGTAAGGCGTCTGGGGAGCACGGAGCAGGGGGCTTAGTAGGGGACTTGGTATTGGCTGCTATATCAACAGAGGTGACATCAGTGAGGTAGGCCCGGCAGCTAAAAATGGCACCTGAGGAATGGCAACTTTGACATTGGTTGGGTCTGGCATTGATGATGATGAAGTGGGTGGCGGAAGAGTTATTGCCCCTCTTTAAGCTACATTTCTTAAAAATGACTCTTAAACTATTCAAAATAGCACCAGAATCCTGGTGACAGTGGAACCTTTTCACTGTGTCTTACTGTATTTTTCACTGTAAAATACATCTTTGTCTATATGCATCCACATATATAAGATTACCAGACTGAATGCAATCTGGTAGATTTCATATTTCATCCTTTTATTCTCTGAGAATGAACAACTATTTTCGCCAAAGTGTTTGTTTTTTCCAACGTTAATCTCGACATAGAAAATTTCCTTCTTTTTGCTTTAATTTATGTGTGAATGTATGTGCTGAGGGTAGATATTGATGTCTTCACATTTCATATGGTGTATTCAACAGATCTGCATTTGTGTTGAATTAATCTTGCTATTATAATAAATCAATTTCTTTTATAATTTGAAAGGTTGATGGATTTTTAAACTCTGAACCTAAGGCTCGGTTCAAAAGTCAAAGGGGTTGATAATAGTGGTGAAAGAGAAAAAGAAATGTAAAATGGGTGTAAATTAAGGTGTGAAAGGGAGAGAATGCATTCTTTCTACTGAGACCAAAGTAAAGAACGCACAAAGAAGATAAGGTTGTGAGGGCAAGGACAGAATACAAGGGAAATTAAGAACGGACATTATGTGGTGAGATAGTACGAACTGCCGATGCTGGAGTCAGAGACAACACAGTGTGAAGCTGGATGAACACAGCAGGCCAGGTAGCATCAGAGGAGCAGGAAAGCTGACGTTTCAGGTCGAGACCCTTCAGGTAGTTTGCTGAAGGTGTGGCGTTCAATATTATCTCCTAAAGGCTGTAAAGTATTTAAACAGAAGATGACGTGCTGTTCCTTGAGCTTGCGCAGTGCATCGTTGGATCATTTTAGCAGGCCCAGGACAGAAATGTTAGCAATGCATGAGAGTAATATGGTATATATTGAAATGAAAAGTTTATTAAAGTGAAAAGGAAATACTGACTTGGATTGTTAGAACAATAGCTTCAATTGTAAGGGAGAATTCTGAAGACTCCAAGGCACAGCAGGAGCTCTTTAAATTTTGCAAGCCTTCCTGAAGTTTGATGATAGGTGCATAGGAATATTTCTTTTGAAAAGATAGCTAAACAGATTAAGTGGGTCAAAATAAAACTGGACATTGCTTATGTAATCAAGTTGACTGGTAGAGCTTCTGAAGTTTTTGCCACAGTTTCTAAGAAGGTTTCCACAGATTATGATATGAAAAAATAAGACTATATTCATTACCTGTGAGTTGGTACATGAGACTTATGGACAGAAATTTCAGAATCTAATTTAATTGAGTTCTTTGAAAGGGCACTAAATATATCGATGAGGGTAATGTAGTTGGTATGGTTTGCCTTAGAGAAGTTTCCACGGCGACCCAACCTTGAGGAGGCCCGACCAGCCCAGGCTCAAACTCCGACCCGCAGTGACTCAACCCCAGGGAGGTCTGACCCGATCTGACCCAACTCACTTACCTTCTGAAGCAGCTGACTTGCACCATCGATGCCCAGGACCGTCCAGAAGCAGGAAACCTACCAAGAAGCATGGAAAACGTGCTGGCCTGCAGGTGAGATTGAAAAAAAATACACAGTTTCAAGTCCTCCCTCCCCTGCATATTCCTAGCAAATGTCCAAGCCATTGAGAACAAAATGGATGAACTTAAAGCTAGACTTGCCTTCCGGAGGGAACAGAGAGACTGCTCAAGTCAGATGACCCAGATACGACCTCCGCAAGGCCATTAGAGATGCCAAAAGGCAGTAACAGACTAAGTTCGAGACCCAAACTAACCACATGGACACTCACTGCCCGTAGCAATGCCGACACGACATACCAGAATACAAAATGAAGCAGAACAGAATAGCGGACAAAAACACATGCCTTCCTGATGAGCTCAATGTTTTTGCCACTTGGTTCAAGCAGCAAGCTAGCAGCGCAGTGTCACCTGGTCTGACAGACCCGGACACACCTGTTCTCTCTGTCACTGCTGCAAACGTCAGACTGGCCTTCGTGAGAGTAAACCTGAGGAAAGCAAATGGCCCAGATGGAGTTCCCGGCCATGCACTCAGATCCTGTATGGA